ATCCTGGAATTACTTTACTCTTTTAAACAACTTTAAGCTTAAAAAGATAAGAACTTAAACTGATCATTGTGGGCACATAGGCAGTTTTGGTCCTGCTATGAGAAAGACATTATGCATTTTATGTCAGCATCCTTACTAACATCTGTGACAGTCACCGACCGCAATTTTATTTATTTGTTTGTTTTGATTTTGAAGTTTTTTTCTTAATATTATAATTATTATTAATTTTCATATCCATATATAAAATCTATATTTATTATTGTGCCAAATACTCTGAAGAGCCAAACACCAAATTTCTCCCAGCTATGTTGCTTTGCTTAGGCAGAAGTTACACACTAGTAAACACTGAGCAAAGAAAAAGAAATTATGAAATAGATGTTCATCATTTTTGACACTAAAATGGCAAGGCTCCTATAAGAAAAAATAATAATAAGTGGTTGTTTTACTATTTATGAAATTCAATTGCACTTCAGTTATGAAATTCAAGTTAGAAAAAAGTTTGTATAAACAACTGTAATTTTACTTCACCCTGACTTTTTGACTCTTAAATTTTCAACTTTATAACTGCTGCACTTCTGTATGATTGCATTTATGTATATGTGTAAATAACTTAAATATGAATAAAATATTATTAAAATGGCTTACTGTCCATGAAAATCTAATTTACTAATTCCCTTTTAGAGAAAAACACTAAAAATGCCCAAATCTCTAGCCTATTCCATCTATTGATTTTTCGTGCAGTGACTAAATAAAACAATTGACAACGAAAAACCAATCAATAATCCTATTCAAAACTCATTCACAACAATCACTTTTCCTGCACTGCATTTGCAATACAGGTTGCAAGATGGTAGCAATACGTACCATTTCAGAGAGAGCTACTCACACCCATAAGAATATACATGCAGGTAGATGTAAATGGCTTATACAGTAGTATGGTATGGAAAATAGGATCTGTTGAAAATGTATCACTGAGTGATAATAATCTGAAGGAGACAAGCTTGTATCCTATTACAGCTTTGTAACAAGGAATTTCAGGAGGGAATTTGTTTCAAAGGTAATTTAAGCAAAAATATTCATATATTACCATGTATTCATGATAAGAAGAATGTTTGATTGTAGATATGTAAATATTTATGTGTACTCAAGCTCTGTCAATCACCCACAAAACTCCTCAGGAAAAATCCATAACTATCAAGAGGTTTTTTCTGACAGATAGTCAGCTAGTTATTGAATGTTGAAAACACCTATTCCCTTGTTGTTAGAACACAAATAATCAGGTTTGTCAAGTTATATTTTTGACTACAGGACTGTTCTAAGTTGGTTAGATAGCATCTGTGGGAGCTATTTGTATATCTTTCTTTTGTATATCTTCTGCAGTTTGTGCTTTAAATCATGTAGAGAAAGATCAAATTTGGGCACCTCAGACATGGACTTTGCGTTCCTATAAATTAGGTACTTGTCACTGAGAAGATTCGAAGGCTGTTGCTTAATTTCTTTTGAGGAATTCTACATTAAGTAGTGAAAGATTTGAACATCAGTCTGTCTTTTCCATCATCATGCAAATATGATCAKCTTTCCTGCTCTCCTACTTGTGCTGTGCCATTTTGATTCTTGACTGTAAAGCAGCCCAGATTCCCAAGCAAAGTGATTGGAAATAGAATTCCCAAGCTGAGCTGGCGATTGGAAATAGAACATTTTGAATCTCCTCAAGGTGATACAGAACTCAGACAGAGTGTTCCTACCCTGTGCATAACTGCTTTAATTAAAACAGCAGCAGTGTTGGATGAATGACTAGGGCTGCCTGCCTGCGCAGGAGAGTCCTTGTACAGAAAGGATGGACAGAAAATGTCCAGTGAAGATGGTTCTTCTGTGGACTGTAAAGTCCTATCTGTACAGTTAAAGTCTTTCCTCATGCTAGCTGAATAAAACCAGAGATAAGCATGAGCTAATACTTTATGACTATGCACTTGCCCACAGTCAGGCACTGGAGTTAGGCTGTCCAGATAAATTTCAGACTGACAGGTAAGTGCTTTTAAGTGGGTSAGGGATAAGGTGACTTTAAATGCTTGAGTTTTTTGGATGAAAGTTAAGAACATATTTTATTTTTAGTCTCACCATAATTACATAATTTGATTTAAAATATTTGGTTCAAGGAATTATTTGGATCCACTTAGCTCAGGGATTATCTCCATCATTCTGAAAAAAAAACAAACAAGCAAACAAACAAACAAAAACTATAGTAGTTTATGGAATCTAGGAAAGACAGAAAAAATGGCAGATACGGATGCCAAACCACAACCCTCCTTTTTGTTTTCAAACACCATTTCCTTTGCCAAAAGGGAAAAGAAAACTGCTGTGTGCCTTTACTCTCATTCTGTGCTCTGTACATCAAGGCAAAAAACAAGCCAAGTGCCTCATACAGAAGGCTGCACAGCAGAAGCTGCTGATCTTGAGRCAGGTGAGCCAGGGGCATGAGCTTGCCCCTAGGCAGTAGCTGAGCCCCTGTCCCTCCCTCCGAGCATTTTATCACCTCGCAGGACTAATTAGCAAGGCTACCGCTGTTCCTGTTAGGTGTTTCACAGATGTTCAAGTGGGGCCCTGGAGAGACTACAGCAGGGAGAAGTATTTTCAAAGATAGGGGGACAGCATTTTCTGCAAAACACTGTGGAGGAGGAAAATTCTTCTTCACCTCTAGCAAACTGATGAGTTCATTGTTTTTCCCCTCAAGCTCGTATGTAGTATATGACCCAGATCCCCTTGCTGTACTTAGTTAAACAGTACTGGCCAGACGCATTTCTTCTTTTACGAAACCTTTGCTGCAGGTTTTTCCAGAATATGTTGTCTGTTATCTTTACTATTGTGACAAGAGACTTAATGGAATTGCTCCCGGGAGTTTTCTGGTAGTGGAAAAGAAAAGGGTTGAGATGTGCTAGGACAGCAGGACCCAGTTTACCACAGGGATGCAGGGAGACATAGGGTATCCAGGTCACAGCTACCTGGTGTGACCTTTGGGAACAAGTGTGTCTTAAATTGGTGGTAGTTGGAAAAAAAAAAAAAAAAAAAAGGGACTTGGGCAAGTTTCTAACTGTATTAGGAAGGGAGGAACTGCATAAAGATAAGTCAGGGATTACACCTCTTTTTCTTTTTCCCAAATCCTGGATCTGACTTTCAGCTGAAGCAAAATACTTCCTGTTGCCATTCCTCTCTCCATGTTCCCTTGAGGATCTGTCTCAGGCAGAGCACTTGCTCTCCTTGAACTGTGCTACTTGCTCCTTGGATGTTCTGGTCCAGCGGCTGCTGCAGCTGCCATGGAAACAGTAACAATGCTCTAAATTGTCATGTTTTGGCATGGAAACGCTTTGTGTTTTTAAGTCTGGTTATTCCTACTACTACACTGAAAAATCCTAGAAAGTTAGTGTATGTCTTCAGGAAAATCAGAAATTTTGCACTAAGCCCTTTGCTTACCCTTATAAAAAAGAAAAAGGGTGTTGATTCAGTAAATGGAATTTATATGTGAAAATCCGGTAATATTTCCTGTTCAGGTAACAGAATCAAACCAGAAATGTAAGCAAAGCAGGAAGCCTAATATATAAACTTCTACTTTTTTCTATCTATTCCTATTATAATGTACTCACTCTTGCACACCACTTTTGCTTGCTTGCTATTAACCTATTATATCTAATGATGGAGATGCATACAACACATGCACAACAACTAGGCAGCTTAATTATAACCTAGCTAAAAGTTACTGTAACTGTTTAAGGTCATGCAGTTTCTGATTGCTCAATGATACCTGAAATTTCCAGTAGGAGAGGGCAAGAGAATCAAAGAAAGATGTTGTGGACGTCTATAGCAGAAGTGGGAAAATCCCAAATCCCAGTCAAGGAGATTAAGTACACAGCCACAAGGCTCTGTTAAAGTTCTCAGCTTCCAGAAGTGTAAGCTACGACATTGAGGTTCCTAGATTTGTTACTATGCCACTCACTTCTGTGCAATTAGTATTAATTATCCCATTGGGAGTTTGTAAACCTAATTAATATTATTTCTCCCTTCATAGTGTTGTCCCTAAAACAGAGTCCATTATCTGGTGTACAGTAAAACAATCATATACACAGGGCCAAGGTATTTATTTCGTTTCTGTGCATAAATGAGTGCTAGGTGATATGCCACAAAGTTAGTACACACAGCTCAGTAGACTCATGGATCGGAGGATTCCTTGAGTCAGTAACCACTGAGTCAGTGGCTGTGCTGCCCCCCAGCCAGAATTACATTTTCCCTCATTTCCTCACCCTTAGCTGATGTTTCCAACAATAAAAACAGTTCACAGATGATTTAAATGTTTTGCTAATAGGGCAGATGGTCCCTTCCTTTTGTTATTCCTCTTTGTAAGGGAAAACTCCTGCCTCGAGGCTCCTTGTGGTGTCTTATTGGCTCATTTGCATTTGCCTGTCTCCCTGGTATCTGGTTTCAGGAACATTCAGGTTCTACAGACAGCAATGGTGCTGTCTATAATAGTGTCAGAAGCATGGCTAAAGATAGTGGGAGAAAATGTGAATGATAGCTGTTGGAATCTTTTCCATAAAAATATCTGGTTTTAGTTTCAGCAGTTCAGTGGGTCTCAGACAGTTTTCCTGAAACTCATAATCTGCCTACACGGTGGAAATCTGGCTTCTGTCTTTGCTAGTCCTTGCATAGGGTCCTTCTGAGCATCCAGCAGGCATGCAGCCTCCAAGCTTGAATTTGCTCTATTCATTTTTTTCTCCTACTCTTTTTTCATCTTTTTTTCTTTTTCCTTTTCAATTGCATATGTTTTCCAGTCCTTTCTTCTTTTTATAGCTGTAATGATTCAGACTTTCTCCTCAGCAAGCATATCCCACCGGCTTTCATTTTTCTCTCAGTAGGCATTATTGAGCAGGATCCAATTAAGGACTTTTTAAGTCCTCCTCTTTGCCTTTAGTGATTAGGATTGCCTCTGTAAATTTACCCATTTAATACAGTCCTAGTTTTGATTATATGAACTTTGTTCACAAGGTTTTAGGAGAGATTTCTCAGTCTTTCTTCTTATAACAATTAATGCAACTGTGAGAAATATACTAGTGTCTTAGAGCTGTCCTTTATTATAATAGTTTCCTTGCTCTGTGAAACTGAAGCAGTTAATTCTACCTGAAAAGGAAGGTTAAAAGGTATATTGAAATCAAGAATAAAGCAAAATACTCTACACAAATTCCTCTTATTTCCAGACAGTGTATGGAATATACACTTTTTCTGCTGCTTACAGAATTACAATATTATTCTTTTTCCTTACCTGTACTTCTGTGCATTTCAGTCAAACATGAAACTTCCTCAGAAAATATGTAGGAAACATAATGGGTATTCTGTGAGGAAATATTTAATTAAATGTTCGGAACTTTTGGAGGTCAGCATATTTAATATAACTGAATATCAACTTGTCTCAGAAACCAACTAATGTAAATCTAATCTAATTAAAAACTATCTAATCTAAATAGAAACTAATCTATCTCTTATACCAAACTACATGAGCAGCACAAAACATAGATTAAATTGCACTTCTAATTATTCAGGATAGAGAAATGACCAGTTATTCATGCTCTTATTTTTACCATAGAAGGGTCTAATGGTAGTGTGGCATTGTAAAAATACTACTTAGCCTTTCAGGACTGTGAACAAACACATATGCTAAAAGTAAGAACTGGTAGGTGATGATTTACCACCAAATCTTACTGGAAGGTGATTCCAATTAATTCTAATCAGGCTAATAAGGAACTGGCTGTTTCTTTTTCAGTGGAAGCCATTATAGGGGAAGGAGGTTCTGGGAACAGAACTTGAAAGGTTGCAGTTGRTGTTTGAAATGGAGGTGCTACCTGTCTTCATGCTGCAGCAAGTCTGGAGTTTTTAAGGTGCCTATGTTGGTAGAGGTTATAAAGTGTGGTAGTGGTTTTATTTGGTAGTAGTAGAAATACACATTCCAAATGTTCAGGATAAGCATGTTGTAGTATCTATGCAAGTAAAATGTGAGTATTCCACAGTGGAATCAGTGTCAAAAGGTTATTCTGGTAATATTACCTAATTCAGATTTTTCTGTATTAAAATGCARTATTAAAATGTAATATGGAGTATTCTTAAAGTGTGTGGATTTTTTTCTTATAAAAATCAATCTTCTTTGATTTTTYAATTAGGCTGAGAACCTCAATCAGAAAAAACTTGAAGCAGAAAACTTTAAGCATTATAATGTTGTCCTGCTACACATTTCAGTATATTTTTAGTTTCCTTGATATCCTTTACTTTAAATTGTAAATATTCTTTATTGACATTTGATATTTTGTTAACATATATAACCTATAGTTTAGTASTCCATAAACACATGCTCAGGAATTTGACTGCATATGGATTAAAGTACCTTGGCTTTTTGAAGGTTTCTCATTGCTGGGATTTGATTGAATAGAAGACAAGATGTAAGTGAAACATATACCACACATAAGTAAAATCAGCAGAGTTTAGTTGCTGATGCAGGAATTAAATGCCATGCTCAAAATGAGTAGCACTAGAGGAACAAAGGCATACTTTAGCCTAGAAAGGACAGCATAACATAGAAACAGTTATCTGGGGCTGAAGGGCTGGGCAAATAGAGAAAAAGGGAATAAGAACTGAAAGAAGAGTTGATTCGTACGTAGCTGCATCTTCACACTCTGAATATTCTGTGTATGGCATTGGAGTGAGAACTTTAAGACTCTTGGAAAATGTGGGGTTCTGCCAGTGCAAATATGCAATACTGAGTAAATTTAGAAAAATGAATTCAATGTATAGTATGTCAGGTTTCACTGTCCAAGTGATGTTTGTATTTTCTGTACTTGAATCTATTACTTGAAGTAATTGCTGTCATTCAATCCATTTTTTTTTTTTGTGCACAAAATGTAAGATGGAAGCAATTAAAAAAAAAAAAAAGAAAAAAAGAAAATAGAGATTCCTTCAATCCTCTTGCTCTTCCTTGAAAATAGATGTCCAGGTAATGCTTTGTTTGTGAGATGTCTTTGGTTTGAGAACCTGCGTTGTCGTGGCAGACAGGGAGTTTCGTTCAGGAGATGGACTAGAAAATGTAAGCTATTCAGTAAGATTATTTACTGTAGCATTTTCTTCAAATGTATTYATAGTCATAATTAGATGCTGTTCTGGGATTTGTGATATTAGCCAACAACTATGTCTTTCTTTGACTGAAACTGGGGAGGTCCCCCTAAGTTAAAACTGTTGAAGTGTGGAGGTAATAATCTCTTTGTAAGATTAAAGAGTATCACTATATATAAATCACTTGGAAAGCTATAGAAAGACAGTTCAACAGTATTTTTTTTATTTACATTCTAGCAGAGCTATACTTGGCCTGCAAAACAAGATCTTTTTATCCCTTGAGTCTTGAGCCAAACTTGGCATCCACATTCATGAGAAAAGGTGTTTATGTTCTAATGTGGATGGAGTTCAAATGTGAACTCTGTTATAGTAAGGATTTTTGCTCAAATTAGGAAGAGAGCTACCCAGGCTATGTGCATTTCTATGATGACCTTAATACTAACACATCAAGAATTTAAATAAATTATTTTGAGAGATTCATTATTTCTAGAAATGGTAGAGCAAAGGTTGTGTGTCTGAAGATAATGAAAAAGCTTCTTTTTTTAGAGATCTGTTGGGTCCAGGAGTTGAGACAAACTGCCCTGGTACTCATAAGTACTCTGCAATTTTACTGCAGTGAGTGAAAACYATAGTTGGAAGTAGAAAAGAGGAAGTAAGATTATCTCAGTAATTCACTTCTATTTGTCACTGCAAATATTAGAGAACCACTAAAACACATAGAGACTGAGGCAAAGGCTGTAGCTATGTAGTAGAATATATGTTTCATATCCTATATACTTACTATATGCTGTTGCTGACTATTCCCCAGATAAATACTCCTGTATGGGACAGATATAGCCTCAGGAAGGGAGCATGCGAGTAGCTTACCTACTCTAGGAGTGTCTAATGGAGAGAGTTACCTTTCCCAGAATCCTGTGTAGGAGCATAATCATGGTGCTGGAGAAGTAAGGAGGATCAAAATGGCTTCTTTTTTTTTCCTCTGTAATATTTGAGAGGCTTTAAACCTTGAACTGACCTGCTGACAATCTATCAGTAACTCTTCTGACTGGATAAATGACCGTTTTGTAATTCAAAAATTCTTGGGTTAGATTCAATAAGAAAGTAGGTGACCCTTCTCATCTGCCCTCGTGTGTCAGTTCTCTGACAAGCAGCAGAGAGATGTATAAAGCCCTGGGTTAGCCAAGTGTTCCTGTTCAGAAACTGAGTTAATGCCATAAAAGTGCTGGGGCCTTCCCTGGCTCTGTTCCAGGTAAAAGGTTGTATGTGATCTGTTCCATCAGTCCATACCACAGTAGGAAAATCTCACATTATATGCCTCTCTTGTGGAGATCAAGTGAATGACATGTCAATTGATCTGACTACCAGCCAGTGGTTCAAATGATTCAAAAAAAAAAAAAAAAAAAAAAAAAAAAAAAAAAAAAAAAAAAAAAAAAAAAGTCTTCTATTAACATTTTTTTTCTTTAACTTTTCATCTTAAATTCTAAAGATGAAGATCTTCTTTAAATGAAGATTCATCTTCATCTATAATTTTCAACTTTCATTTGAAGTACAGATAAGGACAGGAATGACATTGTTCTTGGCCAGGTTACTATACAGTAATGTGTAGCTCCAGATATGTTTTTTTTTTAAATGAATCTTACTATGGTTTTATGTTAATATCTTTTTTTCTAGATAAATAAGTAGTGTCTACTCCTTCATCTTGGAGAGATTCCCCACCATCTAGTTTCAGGAAAAAAAAATCCCCCAAAGCTGTACAGAGGCAGTATAAAAAAAGAGATGGAGAGATCTATCCATGTAGGAAGGGAAAGGCAAAGGGAAAGGCAAAGAGAAGATTTAAGCTTGCTTGATTTGGAGTAATAACTAACTGGAGTGTACAACACACACCAAAAAAAAAAAAAAAAAAAAAAACCCCACTCATTTTCATCATCAGGGACAGATTTGGCAGGACGAGAGATCAGGAAGATTTTTCTGCATCCTCAAGACCACAGGAATGTTCATTAGAACTGACAGGCATGATACTTCAAAGGAAAAACTTTAACCCAGTGTATAATTAAACCATAAAACTCATTGTAACAACATCATTACAGGTAAAGTTTTATGCAACCATGAAAATAGTTATCTATATAAGCAATATTTTTGAAAGAGTCTCTCTCTTCAAATGAGAGATAAATCTTCATACTCCAGCACACAAGTCAAACTATAACTGATGAGATTTAGAAGCTCTCTCCTTCTCTAGCATCTAGACAGATTAATTTATTTCTAGGTTTCTACATTTTCCACTCTTTGTGGTAGCACGATTCCAGTGATTTTTTGATCAGAACTCCATTACATTTTCTAATGACATCACTTCATTCTTGTAATACAAAAAATATCTAGGCAGAACTGGGTTATGTTTGTCTGTGGAGTTCTGAATATATGATAGGAACAGGGCTAGATGTGAATTCAGTATCTTTCCCTGAAGACCTCAAAACTGTGTAAATGGAAAAGCAGTACAGCAACAATTAAATGCAGTTTATTATACACAGTGTTTTTTGGGTTACAGAAAAAGAGCGAAGGTAAACTCTAATAAAGATATGTAAACCCAGTGCAGATGCTGCAGAGAAATAGCAGCTGGGATGGAGGAGTAAATTAATTGTTGCTTTATGAGCTCCAGTGTGGCACTGTGTGATCATAGATATGATACTACTAGATCTACATTCTTCTTTTAGGGTTAACACAAAGTGAGCCATAGATTGTGCCCTTAAAAAAAATGAGAACTGTAGAGGATGCTGAGCCTTCTATCATCTAGTGAAGGTCATTGTTTCAGCTGTGCTGCTGAGATTGACATTAGGTAAAAAGGGTTTCACACTGGTTTTATCTTTGTCACCTCATGGAGGGAGTAAAAACTTTATTCACAAACTAATTTAGACACTTAACTTCAGTACATCCCAAATCAAATCAAACTAGTAATTAGAGTGTCTCTTAGCAAAGAATGATCCCCAGAGCTTCCACAAACATATAAATGCAAACAGTAAGTCACTAGCCTATAGTGCAGTAGATCTTACAAGTTCCAGTACAGTGAGCAAAATAATAAACCATGCCACCTCCAAGGAGAACCTCTACCTTCATAGGATGGGTGTAAAGGCACTTAGAAGGTGTTCAGCTATTATGATAATACTCAAATAGAGGAACATAACATATCACAGACAGTAAAAACGGTAGTGGAGATTTAACAATTCAGAATATAATTATCAGG